GGACCCTGCCATCTTTCACAGGGTCTTGGTGTGTCAGCAGGAAGGAAGCTGGTGACTCCAGGCCTTCCTTCTCCCAGGTTCAAGGCCAGCAAAAAGAGAGAACTCTCCCTCCTTCTCTCCACATTTCTAGCCCCAAACTGCTTTTTCTCCTCACCATGAGTGGGCCCCTGCCTGTCCCAGAACCTGTCACTGTGGCTGGAGTAGGGGGTGTACTAGGAGTGCGTGAAGCTGGGCCCTGCTTTTTCCTGGAGCTGGCACAGGGGAGCTGGGGGGCTTTTCTGCCTCTGTGTCTTCACTCATGCTATAAACTTTTCTCTTTCACACTAGCTTGAAGTTTTACAGCGGGGGCATCTTATGAGTAGAAGGTACCCACTGCTCCCTGGCAACTTGTACGGGCTGTATTAGTTTGTTTTGCTCCCCACGGGTTTGGGTGGGTGGGAAAGGTGGACAGTCATCGGGAGTGCACCTGCAGGCCTGACCGCCAGGCTCCCTCAGCCCCCATCCTGGGAAACCCAGCACCGGGGGAAGCGCTCTTAGCAATCTGGGTTTGCCTCTTCTTTTTCAATTGAGGGGCGGTTCACAAAAAAGTAACCACATTAAAGTGAAGAGCTCATTGGCTTGTAGGACATTTACAGTGTTGTGTTGTGCAGCTGTCACCTGTCTAGTTCTAGAACATTCTCATCACCCCAGAAGGAGACCCCCATACTCATTAATCAGTCACTCCCTGTATTAGTCTGTTCTTACACTGCCACTCCCTGTGTTAGTCTGTTCTTACACTGCTAATTAGGCCATACCCAAGACTGGATAACTTAGAATAGAAAGAGGTGTAACTGACTCACAGTTCTGCATGGCTGGAGAGGCCTCAGGAAGCTTACAGTCACGGTGGAAGGGGAAGCAAACACGTCCTTCTTCACATGGCCACAGGAAGAAGTGCTGAGCAAAAGTGGGGAAAGCCCCTTATAAACCATCAGCTCTCATGAGAACTCACTCACTATCACGAGAACAGGATGGGGGAAACTGCCCCATGATTGCTCCACTTGGTCTCTCCCACAACATGTGGGAATTACGGGAACTACAATTTAAGATGAGATTTGGGTGGGGACATGGCCAAACCATATCACCCCCCACTTTCCCCTCCTCCTTTTTCCGGGCAACCACAAATCACTGTCCATCTCTATGAATTTGCCTGTTCTGGACATTTCATGTAAGTGGAATCATACACTCTGCAGCCTTTTATGTCTGGCCACTTTCACTCAGCATCATATTCTTGGGGTTCATCCACAGTGTAGCCTGGGTCAGTGTTTCATTCCTTTTTTTTTTTTTTTTTTTAAATAAAGATGGAGTCTTGCTATGTTGCCCAGGCTGGTCTTGAACTCCCGGGCACAAGTGATCCTCCTGCCTCTACCTCCATGTCCAGCCCTTCACATTGCATTGTATGGATATGCCATGTTTTATTTATCTGTTCATCAGGTGATGGACTTACTTGTGCAATTTTGCTGCGAATAAAAGCTAAACCTGAACTTAAAGAAGAACCCATTAAAGACAACAGCTTTTATCCATGGAGAGTTTAAAGGAAGTAAGTTTCTAGCAACTGCTAATGGTTGCCAGTTGCTGTTTCTACTCCTGGTGCTGCCTGTTAGCCCTGGGGATGGAAACCTTCTTTTTGTTAATGTTGCTTTGGAGAATTATTCCCAGGTTGGATGAGCAGTTTGCTCTCACAGTTTTAGGGTGGCCTGGCCCCCAGAGCCCTTCCTTCCACATCCTTCTTCTTGCTCTGTTATGTCTCTTCTTGGTCCAGGTAGAAGAGCAGAGATAGGATAGCAGAGATGTTTCTTGCCACCAGTAGTGTGACCGGGTTCTAGGTGCCATGTTTGCTGCTACCTTTTGTCTTAAGAACCTCAAAACATGACTTGGGCTGCAGGGAGAGACCAGCCAGACACCCAAGGTGGACTGCAGTGAGGGGCTGGGCAGTGGTGTGGGGACGCGGGTCTGATGTCAGTTGGCACAGAAGGGGTGTTGGGCACTCTGGGCAGCGGAGCCAGCCTGTGCAAAGGCTCGGGAGTGCCAGACGCATGAGCTGTGCACGGTTTGCTGTGGGTGGGGTCAGGTGCCCATGGCCCCCTGCCTGCCCTCCTGTTGGGGAGCAGTGAGGGCCCCGCACCCACTGGTACATGCATACACACTCCTGAGGCTTTTTCTAGGGAGTTTTTCTTCCACACACATTTTTGCCTTGAATTTCTGGAGGTCCTGCACTCTGGGACCCTGGAAGGGGTGCTGCTTTGGCGCTATGCTCAGCCCCATGGTTCTGTGGGGTGAACAGATGTGTGGCCATTTCTGACATGGAAGCCCCTGTAGCCTCCCCTTTCAAGCAGCTTCCAAGGGAGGACACTGAGTGGCCTTGGGCACGTCGTCGAACTGTAATCCCACTTCCCACGGTGGTTATGACAGTTACGTGGATTAAGACTTGTGAATTGCTTAGAGCAGGAGGCCAGCAAACTCCAGCAAGCTCCAAATCTGGCCCTCAGCATGTTTTTGTAAATAAAGTTTTATTGGCACATAGCCATGCCCACTTGTTCCCCATCGCCTGTGGCTGCTTTTGCAATACAATGGCAGGGGTGAGTAGATGAGACAGAGACCTTGTGGCCCTGAAAGCTTGAGCTATTTTTACCATCTGGCCCTTTATAGGAAAGCTCCGGCCTCTGGCATCCAGTCCCAGTGGCCTCCAGGCTCTGTTTCCTCCTCTGGTAATGGAGATGGAACAGCAATCCCCTCGGAGGACTGTTGTGGGGTCTACTTCATGGGGTGTGCAGAGGACTGGGATGGGCTGAGCCGTGAGCGGCCCCAGGTGTGATTTCTAGGGTATCCCTTGGGGAGATGGCCTGAGGAGCATAGAGGACCGCATTGGGGCGATTGAGGGATGAAGGCCCTTTTCTCTATTTCCCTCGAGGAGTCTGTGTGTGTGGAGGGAGCACTGGGTTGTCCAGGCTGCTGCTGTGCTTGCCCCCACATCTCAGATGGTAACAGAGGCTGGAGGCAAACCTAATATGACTCCAAGACTCTTGGCCCCTATGGGTCTTGCTGGGACTCTGTGGGTTGAGGGGAGGACAGAGGCCCTGAGGATGGCAGGAGTGGACAGAAGATGATGCAGCCTCTGTGAGTCCCGAGGTTGGGGGGGGCACTCGGGGCCCCCCGGCTGCAGTTGTCTGGGGAATAATGCACCCTGTGTCCTCTGGATGCAGCTGCCGTGGGGGTGGGGAGGCGGTGGCCTGGCTCTGCTCTGGGCCTTGTCTGCCAGCAGCTGCCGGCTTGGCCCCAAGGATGGCACAGGGCGGGGGCTGGGTTCTGGAGCCCAGCTAGGGGAGGACCATCCCAGCCAACATTTATTGAGGCTTATAGTATGACAGGCTCAAAGCCATTAACTCATTCAAGACTCACAGGGACCGGGGAGGTGGAGGTGCGAACTGTTCTCCCCATTGAACAGATGAGGAACTGAGACAGGAAGCAGTTGAATGATCTGCTGGAGGTCACGGAACTGGAGAGTGGCAGAGGGGGCTGGGATGTGAACCTAGGGCTGCACAGGGGAGGCCTGGGTTGTTTTTTCTAACCTCCTTATCCTGAGAGCGTTCCTAGCACAGCCTGGGTGCACCAGACTTTAGCTGGTGGGATGAAGGCATCCATGGATAACTGAGTCCAGGCTTCCTTTGTCGTTAAGCACATTTTCAAAAACAACTGTATTACATGAAGAGTAACTCTCGGTGAAAGAAAATCAGAAAAAATACGGGCAAATAAGAAGAAGAAAGTAAAAATACCCTCTTCTGCCCTGCTGCCGAGATAACTCCTTTTAGCTTCTCTGTAGCCCGTTCTGGTGGCTTTTCCGTGTGTTCGGGAATATGTGTTTTCTGCAAAGCCACGTGTGTGTTGGCTGCATGGTTCTGGAACTTGCGTGTTTGGACTGAACTTCATGAGAGAATGTTTACAGAGGTCTGCAGAGGCCAGGCCCTGGGAGGATGGAGGCTGTGGGTCTTGGTTCCTTGAGCTGGTGGGGAACACACAGATGGGGTAAGTGGAAGAAGGGAGGTGTGTTATGGGAACAGGGAGCTGGAAGACTTCACAACTTGAGGAGAGGCTGAGAAACCATTCATGTAGCAAGAGCATTTGCACTGCATCTTGAAGGCTGTAAGGGACTCTGGATTTTGGAGAATGGGTGATGGCTGGGATGGGGATGGGATCCTTGAACAGGTGAGGACTGTCCTGACAGATGTCCAGTACTCTGGGCCTGGAGTCAGGGATGGAAACTAGGGGTGTATTGGCGAGGGGGTATGCATTAGTCCGTTTTCATGCTGCTGATAAAGACATACCCAAGACTGGGCAATTTAAAAAATAAAGAGGTTTAATTGGACTCACAGTTCCATGTGGCCGTGGAGGGCTCACAATCATGGCAGAGGGCAAGGAGGAGCAAGTCACATCTTACATGGATGGCAGCAGGCAAAAAGTTGGCAACTACATTAGGGTTCTCTAGAGCGACAGAACTAATAGAAAATATGTAATATACATATATTACATAAAGGGGAGTTTATTAAGGAGTATTAACTCACACAATTCCACAATAGGCCATCTGTAAGCTGAGGAGCAAGGAAGCCAGTCTGAGTCCCAAAGCTGAAGAACTTGGAGTGTGATATTCGAGGGCAGGAAGCATCCAGCGTGGGAGAAAGATGTAGGCTGGGAGGCTAGGCCTGTCTTGCCTTTTCACATTTTTCTGTCTGTTTTATACTCGCTGGCAACTGATTAGATGGTGCCTACACAGATTAAGGGTGGGTCTGCCTTCCCCAGCCCACCGACTTAAATGTTCATCTCCTTTGGCAATACCCTTATAGACACACCCAGGATCAATACTTTGCCTCCTTCAATCCAATCAGGTTGACAGTGTTAACCATCACAGGGTTGTACAGACTGGGGGTGTCCCCCGTGCTGACCCTATGCCTGTTTTTTTTCTGCCACAGGACCGTAGCCTGACGGGCAAGCTGGAACCAGTGTCTCCCCCCAGCCCCCCGCACACCGACCCTGAGCTGGAGCTGGTGCCTCCGAGGCTGTCCAAGGAGGAGCTGATCCAGAACATGGACCGCGTGGACCGAGAGATCACCATGGTGGAGCAGCAGATCTCTAAACTGAAGAAGAAGCAGGTGTGAACGGGCAGGGGGATGGGGAGTATTGGCTCTGAGTCTCCATTCTAGCAGCAGTGACTGCAGTATCACAGACATGTGCCAAGCCCTTCCCAAGTTCCTGGGTGCTCACTGGTTTTTATGCCCTTTACATTTATTGGACAGGAGCACCATCCGCAGAACTTTCTGCCATGATGGAAACACTGTGTATCTGCAGGATAGCCACGTTCCACTACTGAGCATTTGAAATGTGCCTACTGCAACTGAGGAACTGATTTTTAATTTTTGTTTAATATGCATATGAAATGTGCCTTTGAATAGCCACACAAGCTGCCGCATTAGACAGCACAAGAATGGTGGGTGAAAGTTCAGGATGTCTAGCCAGTCTGTCCAGGTTCAGATCCTGTTTCTTCCAGTACCAGGCAATGTGAGGTGGGCAGTCCCTTCTCTGTGCTTCACTTTCCTTATCTGTAATGTGGGGAAACAGCCCTTGGCTCTGGAATCTGAACGGACTGGCCTCCTAACTGCTCTTTACTAGCTGTGTGGCCCTGGAACCTTCATCTCTTGGAGCCTTGGTTTCCTTGCCTGTAAAATGGACAACTTGTAGAGCAGGGAGCAAGATCCCGAGATTAAAAATAAATCCTCATCGTCACTGTTGAAACCACACAAAGACATGCGGAGAAAAAGCTGATGTAAATATTTATAACATTCATTTTATAATTTTGTTTTAAATATGAGTTAATATACAATTCCTTGATAATCTGCCTTTTCCCAGCTCTTCATGGTTTGCTCCCTGGTATCATTCAGGTCTCTGCTCAGATGTCCCTGACACCAAGAGGCCACCCTCCGCCTTGTACAAGAACACGCACCCCCAACCCTCCTCTATCCCGGGTTCAGCCAATCCAGCTAATTCTAGCTGCTGCTGCTTTTTGTAAATAAAGTTTTATTGGCACAGCCATGGCCACTTGTCTGTGTATCTCTATACACATGTGTGTCTATATGACTGCTTTTCTGCCACAGTGGCAGAGTTAAGTCATCACAACAGAGACCTGTGTGGCCTGCAAAGTCAAAAATATTTGCTATTTAGGCCTTTAAAGAAAAGCTTTGGGCCGGACATGGTGGCGGATGCCTGTAATCCCAGCACTTTGGGAGGCTGAGGCTGGAGGATCACTTGAGCCCGGGAGTTTGAGACCAGCATGGGCAACATAGCAAGACCCTGTCTCTATAAATAATTTAAAACATTAGCCAGGTGTGGTGGCACATGCCTGTGGTCATAGCTACGTAGGAGGCTGAGGCAGGAGTGCCTGAGCCCGGGAAGTTTAGGCTACATGAGCCATGATTGCCACTGCACTCTTGCCTGGGCAACAGAGTGAGACCCTATCTTAACAAAAAGAAATGCTGCTGAGCACTGATCTGTCTCATCACCCCGCTGGTGGCGTCATTATTTGAATTAATATAGACCCAGCTTTGTTATACAGTTGTCCTCTCCTTGTCTCCCTGTTAACTGCAGTGTTCTGAGCAGCATGGGGTACATGGTAGGTGCTCATTAAAAATGGTTGATTCAGTCATTGTGTCACTGTCTGGGCCCCAGGGAGCGTCTAGACTAATGGGGGAAACAGGCTCACATCTAGTGCCCTCCAGACAAGGAAGTAGGGGCTCCAAGGAGGATCAAGGGCTCATTCCAGCCACTGTAGGCAGGGGGTGAAGGCTGGTGAGAGAAGGCTTCCAGGAAGAGGTGCCCTGGTAGCTGGGTTTTGAAGGACGCTTCAGGGGGAGAGCGTTGATTTCAAGGGGCCATCACCATGGCTGTCACATGGTTGGGGGAACCAGGATTTGAGGATAGTCCAACAGTGAGGCCCGGTCCTGGAGACTCTGCCAACTGTCCCAGGCTTCAGCAGGCAGTAGGTAGGTCTCATGATGGTGGCATAAGCATCCCGAGAGGCGCCGGGCCCCGGTGGGGGTGGGCAGGCATTGCCAGGGCCAGCCTGGTACCACACCTTTAGGGGGAGGCCTGGCCCTGGGGTGGGGCTGAAGCTGCGGGCACTGGCACATATTGGTAACTGCGGCTGGAAGCCAGGTGGCTCGAGGCAGCTCTCAGTGGTTAGGTTTTTGTTTGTTTCTTTGTTTGTTTCCCTCTAAATTCCACGTTGGCATTTTTTAAAAGTGAAATTCTCAAGCATAATCATTTTAAAGTGCACAATTCAGTGGCATTTCTTACATTTGCAGTGTTGTGCAGCTGTCACCTGTATCTGGTTCCCAGCCATTTCAACAACCCACAGGGAAGCCTCATAGGAGCTAAAGCAGCCACTCCCTGTTCCCCTACTCTCTGTCTCTGTGGACTGACCTGTTCTAGACAGTTCCGATATATGGCATCACACAGTATGCGTCCTTTTGCGTCTGGCTTCTTCTACCTAGCGTCATGGTTTTGGGTTTATCATGTTGTCTCTTGTCTCATTCCTTCATTCCTTTTTATGGCTGAATCATACTCCATTGTATGGAGATGGCACCTTTTCTTTATTTCATCATCTGTGGCCATTTGGGCTGTGGCTGTTGTGAATAGTGCTGCTGTTCAAGTTGTGTTGGGACACCTGTTTTCAGTTTTCATGGGTATATACCTAGGAGCGGAATTGCAGGTTTGCACAGTAATTCTAGGTTTAATTTGCTGATGACTTTCCAGGCTGTTTTCCACATCAACTGCCCCATTTTACATTCTTACCAGCAATGCATGAAGGTTCCAGGTTTTCCACATCCTCATCAACCCTCCCCCCACCTTTTTTTTTAATTTTGAGATGGAATCTCACTCTGTTGCCCAGGCTGGAGTCCAGTGGTGCCATCTTTGCTCACTGGAGCCTCTACCTCCTGGGCTCAAGCAGTCCTTCTACCTCAGCCTCCTGAGTAGCTGGAAGTACAGGCGTGCACCACCACACCCGGCTAATTTTTGTATCTTTTTATAGAGATGGGGTTTCACTATGTTGCCCAAGCTGGTCTCCAACTGCTGGTCTTGAGTGATCTGCCCACCTTGGCCTCTCAAAGTGCTGAGATTTCAGGTGTGAGCCACTGTCCCTAGCCACACCAACCCTTTTTTATCTTCCTTTAAAAATGTTTTTGGTCGGGTGCGGTGGCTCACGCCTGTAATCCCAGTACTCTGGGAGGCCAGGCAGGCGGATCACGAGGTCAGAAGTTAAAGACCATCCTGGCTAACATAGTGAAACCTCGTCTCTACTAAAAATACAAAAAAATTAGCCAGGCGTGGTGGTGGGCACCTGTAGTCCCAGCTACTCAGGAGGCTGAGGCAGGAGAATGGCGTGAACCTGGGAGGCGGAGCTTGCAGTGAGCCGAGATCATGCCACTGCACTCCAGCCTGGGTGACAGAGTGAGACTCCGTCTCAAAAATAAAAAATAAAAAAATTAAAAAATGTTTTTGATTCCAGCCATCCTAGTGGTTGTACAGCGGTATCTCGTTGTGGTTTTGACTTGCATTAGACAGCCCTTTTTAGCATGTCACTGCTGTGCAGCAGTTTTTTCAGCATTATCTCCTTGATCTTCCAAACAACCTTATGAGGTAGGCATGTACTCGCAGGTTCTGCTGAAGTAGACACTGAGGTCAGGGAGGTGAAGTGCCCTGGCTGAGGCTGCAGAGCTGGTGAGTGTGGGGCTCAGGCTTGAATCCAGGCCCAACAGAGCTGAGTCACCCTCTTAGCTGGATCTCTGTAGGTGTCCCAGGTAGTATTTTCGCTAGTACCTGAGGAAGGGCCACCTTGCCTGGCTGGGGGGAGCCTCCCTCCCACCCACCCTTTCCCGGCTGTGGACTTCTTCCCCTTCTTGGTTTTGTTTGTTCAGTGCTTTGGGGGAGTATTTCGATGTCCTTCTTGAAGCGACCACCAGGGGTTGCTGTGGGACTGAGGCAGTTCTGCTCAAGCTGCCAGCACCATCGCCTGCAGAAGCCAGCACCCTGGATTTTCTGGCTCTTTTTGTGTTCACTTCTTCTTGGGCACCTTTTTGGGTTCATACTGATCTGCTCTGTGGTTATGTGCAGGCTATGTGAGCATCATAAGTGGAGCAGAACCATGTTCTGATCTCACTTGTGATGCCCTGTCACACTGCAGAATGGGGCATTGGCTTCCCATCTGACCTTGGGCCAGTGCCCTAAACCCTCTGGTCTTCAGCCTCCCTCTTGCTATGAAGCAGATGGCAGCATGATGGGATGCTCTTTCCAATGGTGTTAGGAGGAGGGTGTTTGGTACATGGACAGATGAGGATGAGGATGATGGGGGTGATGAGGATGAGGATGATGGGGGTGATGAGGATGAGGGTAATGGGGGTGATGAGGATGAGGATGATGAGAGTGATGAGGATGATGGGGGTGATGAGGATAAGGGTGATGGGGGTGATGAGGATGAGGATGATGAGTGAGGATGATGGGGGGATGAGGATGAGGATGATGGGGGATGAGGATGAGGATGGGGGTGATGAGGATGAGGATGATGAGAGTGATGAGGATGATGGGGGTGATGAGGATAAGGGTGATGGGGGTGATGAGGATGAGGATGATGAGAGTGATGAGGATGATGGGGGTGATGAGGATGAGGGTGATGAGGATGAGGATGATGAGGTGATGAGGAAGAGGATGATGAGGATGATGATGATGATGGGGGTGATGAGGATGAGGATGATGGGGTGATGATGACGATGATGAGGGTGATGAGGATGAGGATGATGAGGGTGATGAGGATGAGGATGATGATGACGATGATGGGGGTGATGAGGATGAGGATGATGGGGGTGATGAGGATGACGATGATGGGGTGATGAGGATTAGGATGATGGGGGTGATGAGGATGAGGATGATGGGGGGATGAGGATGATGAGGGTGATGAGGATGAGGATGATGACGATGGGGGTGATGAGGATGATGAAGATGATGAGGATGAGGATGATGGGGGGGGGGGATGAGGATGAGGATGAGGGGGATGAGGATGAGGATGAGGGGGATGAGGATGATGAGGGTGATGAGGATGAGGTTGATGGGGTGATAAAGATGAGGATGATGAGGGTGATGAGGAGCTCTGTGGGTGGAGTGCGGCCTGTGTGTCAGGTGCCAAGTGCTTTGCACATATCATCAGCTCATTTCACCCTCACACTGGCCCCTCACACCGGCCCCCTAGGGTAGTAACTTTTATCCCCATTTTCCAGAAGAGGAAGGGAAGGCTCAGAGAGGTCCAGGAGCTTCTCAAGGCTAGCAGTAAGTAGGAGTGGGAGCCAGTAGGACTGGCTCTGGTCTAGCCAGTGCAGCTGCGGAGTCTGCTCAGCTTCTCCTAGCACTGATGCTGCCTGTAGGAACCGTAACGGGTAGTAATGCCGGCTCATAGCAGGCCTGGCTGCGCCTGCCTGTGTAACTCATTGAGTTCTCACCATGGTCAGAATGGCGGCACAGCAATCAGCCCTGTTTACAGAGGGGGAAACTGAGGCCTAGCGGGGTGAGGCTGCTCGGCTGTGCTTCCCTAGCTGGCAAGTCACGAAGGCAGGATTTGAACCTGGCTTCGGAGCTTGGAGGTTGCAGCTGGCCCGGGAGCTGGGGCCTCTCCCGGGTACGGAGTCCCTGGGGTGACTCACAGGAAATGGGTAGCAGCCTGACTTCCTGTGCGCGGCCGCGGCCCGGGCTGCAAGGGGGCCTCCCCACGCCCTGGGAGCTGCAGCCCTCCTTCCGCCCGCCGGGGTGCTCACCCCTTACGCTCTGCCTCTTCCCACAGCAACAGCTGGAGGAGGAGGCTGCCAAGCCGCCCGAGCCTGAGAAGCCCGTGTCACCGCCACCCATCGAGTCGAAGCACCGCAGCCTGGTGCAGATCATCTACGACGAGAACCGGGTATGCGTCCCTGCCCCTGCCTGCTGCTCCCTGGTGTTGGCCATGAGGTGCTTCACAGGGGGCACCATGAATAGGGCCTCAGTGTTCCCATCTGCAAAATGGGGAGGGGACCTCGCCACCCTCTCCCCCAGAGATGCAGGGTTTATGAGTGGGTGGGGGAAGGTGACTGGTGGAAAGCCATCCTGGTGTGGCCTCTGGGCTGTTCTGCTCAGACGCGCAGATGGGTGTGAACCGTGGCTAGCCAGCGGGATGCAACACAAAACGGAGGCTTTGGGCTCCAGGATAGCACCAGGGTCCAGCTGATGGCCCAGGGTAAGGGGCTGCCACTTCAGGCACTCGTGCAGAAGAAATCCCTTTAAGACAAAAGATAATGACGTTATGACCACAGCAGTGAGCTTTCATGGAGCAGCTCCTCCCGTCAGTCCTGGAACGGCACGTGCAGACGTCGTTTCCATTTTCCTGAGGCCCAGAGAGGTTAAGTGACTTGTCTAGAGTCACACAGCTAGGAAGCATTGGACCTGGATTTGAACCTGTGGACTGTCAGACCACAGGGCCTGAGTTCTCAGCACCAGCTTCCACTGACACTGGGCCCTCAAAGGGGCCTTTGAGATGATTGAAACACAGAGTCTGTAGCAGGCTGTGGAGGCCCATGGAGATCCCACTGGGGGCAGCTATAGGGGGTCTGGTCTTGGTGGAGGGGCTTGGGGTACCCAGAGCCGTGTCTCCAGGGGCTGGACCGTAAGGGTCTGTGCACCCCGAACGTGGAACCTTGTGTCTGGTGAGGTGGTAAGCTCCCCGTCGTCCCAGGCAAGCCACTACTAGCTGGGCTTTGATGATTTACAATCGACTTTTTCTAAATGTACTCAGGATCTGTGGATGTTGATCCCCTCCCTTATTTTCTGGATGAGGAAACTGAGGCCCAGAGAGGGACTGGTCCTTGTGAAGCCTGACAGATGCGGAAACTCCTCTCCCGGCCTTGGCTTCTCTGGTTCCCCTCCTGCCTGTAGCCCCAGCCACCCTTCCCAGCTGCCTCTTCCGTAATATCTTCCTTGGCCAATCAGTGCTCAGAGTTGAGGTGGGGGTGGGGAGGTCTCTGGAGTCTGGTGGGTGCCTGCAGTAGCAGCCTGAGACAGGGAACTACTTGATCAACCAGTTTGGCTACGCCTCCACCTCTAGAAACAGCAATGTCATGCAGAATGAGACGAGCCTGTTTGGGGCCTGGGAACTGTGTGCCTGGGTCACTCTCCCACACTGTGGCCCCTCACCTCAAGTACCACTAGTAACGGTCATAAGAGAGCCCAGGGGCCACACATCCTTCAGCCAGGCATCTTGGGTTCAAATCCCATTTCTCCCACTTCCTGGCTCTGTGACCCTGGAATGTTTTACTTAAACCTCCCTGTGCCTCACGCTTCACAGCTTTAAAACAATGACAACGATGGCATCACCTAGTATAGTTGGTGTGGGGATTAAAGGGGCTGATTTCCTAGTGCCCTTAGGACAGACAGTGCCTGGCACCAAAGAAATGCCAGCTGATGCTATTAATTGTCATTATCGTAGCTCTCATTTCTTCTTGTGATTGTTTACCTTGTACATTTAATAGAACAGTATTTGCATTTAGTAGAACTACTATGATTCTCTCCATTTTGCTCATCAAGAAACCAAAGCTCAGAGAGGGAAGGAGACCTCCCTGAGACTGCAGAGCAAGTGAGCTTTGAGCCTGGGACTCAGAGCCAAGATTGAGGTTGCTCCAGGAGCCCGAAGTGGAGGGGACATGGACAGGGCTCCTGAGAGTGTCACCTCTGCCTGCCGTCTCTGATCCTTGGTGGAGAGCAGGCACGGTTCTCTTCAGCAGCTGTGGAGGCCAAGTCAGTGGCTGAGCACGTTGCTGCAGTGCCTTGGCCTCCACCTGGTGCTCCTCTCCTTGTAGGGCTCATACTGTCACTTCCATCTTTGCTCAAGTGGCTCCTTCTCAACAAGACCTGTTTCAACCCTCTACTTAATACTGAAAACCCTTCTCTCACGAAAAAGGGTTTTCAGGATTACACCCATTTTCCTCCTTTGTGGCTCCTGATTCTCCTTAGCCTTGTCCTCATGGGACGTGATTTCTAGTTTACTTATTTATTCTGTTCATTATGAATGGAAACTCCGTGAGGGCAGGGATTTTATTCCTGCCCACTTTTATTTCCAGTGGTATCTCCAGCACCTAAAACGGTGCTCACCACACAGCAGATGCACATTAAATAATTGTGCAAATGTTCAGGTGGCAGAAGGGGAGGGGAGATGGAGGCGAGTGGCCAGCTCTGGCCCGTGGAAGAGGCCTCTGGTTTGGGGCCGTGGGGGCTGGTGGGGACCCTCCACCTGGGCTGAGCCTCTGAGCCTCCAAAGCCTGCAGCCTGGTGTGCGGGAGGCCCCCAGCCGCCTTTGGCAGGAGCAGCCTGGACTTACCGCCTCTTGGGGGATCAGTAGGATTAAATTTTAATCTGCCTTCCTTCCCTGCTGGTTCCTGGAGAGATGGAGGACAAGGGTCTGTCTCTAAACGCCGAGCCAGCCGGAAAATGCAGCTTCCCCGCCGGGCAGGGCCCGCCTGGCAGTTCTGAGTGCTGGAGTCTGGCTCATTATCCATTCAGAGCACATTGGTGAGGCACCCGCTGAGCAAGGCTTTTCCCACCTCCCTGCCTCGCGGGAGCTGCCTGCGTGGGCGGGGGCCGGGGCCGGGCAGGTGTGCACAGATGGCAGGGCAGCCGGCAGGGTGGCTGCAGCCTGAGAGCAGGAGCAGACGGGGTGGCCTGGGCCCAGGAGGGCAGAAGCATGACCTGGAAGTGAGCGCTGGGAAAGGCTTCTTGGAGGCAGCGGGTGGGCTGGAAGGAGGGCATTCGGGTGAGGGACATGGCACAGGCCAAGTCCCAGAGACGGGACTGGCGTCTCCTTTGATCTTCAAAGGTGGTGGGCATGAGGTAGGAGCCTGTTGGTTCCGGGACAAAGCACACACTTGGGATCTGGACAGGACACACACACAGGCAGCACTAGCAACGTGTGGATGCAGAAGGGGCATTTGCGCAGCGCAGGTTGCTGGTACTGCAGGAATTCAGGACAGAACAGGCAGAGTGGGCTTCATAGGGGAGATGGGCCTTGAGCTAGGTTGTCTGGGGAAAGGCAGAAGGCTGCTTCCAATGGAGATGTCTACGGCTTACTCACAAGGTGAGGAGGAGGCAGGATTGATGGAAGCAGCAACCCCAGTTGCTGAGTAATGTGGAAATCAGCAGAAAACTCGGGTCCTTGTCTTTGAGTTTAAGCATCTTAAAAGGAAGGTGTTTCTATGATGTGATTAGGACTCAGTGTGTGCACGTGTGATCGGGACGGAGCAGGGCAAAGACGAATAATACCATCCACAGTCACCGTGAACGTGAAGCATTCAGGAGAGCCTTTTGGGGGGGTTGGCACTCCTCGTGCTTGTCTGTCGGGCCCAGCATCAGACCCCCGATTCAAGATTTTCAGAGCAGTACTTCAGACCCCATCCTGTGGCCCCAGCATCCTGTGCCAGGCCCCCACCTCTGGCCTCCATGCCCAGCCACCTGGTCATCAAAACTGCCCCTAGGGTCCAGGGGTTCTTTCAGATTGTCCGTTTCAGCCCTGCGGGGCTGCTGCATGTGTCCTTTGACCTGCCACTGTTCCTGCTCGTCACACACCCTGGGAGGGCTCTGCGCAGGGCTCACAGGCATGGGGCTCTGTTTGAAGATGAGGAAGCTGAAGCTCAGGGTAGGCCGCTGCCCTGAGGCACTGCTGCAGCCAGCGGAGGAGCTTGAGTGCAGGACTAGGGGCTTGGGGCTTCTTGGGTGAGTAGGTGCTGCCTGCAATCTGCAGATGAGGAGGCCAGTGTGGCAGAGAAGGGGCTAGGATGGGGCTTCCAGGCAGGGGAGAGGCGAGGGAGTGGTCAGTGTCTGGTCTGTTTCTCTGCCCTAGAGGAGAGCCGCATATGGATGCGTGTGTGGTTTGTGTGCCTGTGGGTACACATGTGCATATACGGATGGATGCATGTGTGCTATGTGTGTTGGATACACATGGGTGAGCATACATGTGTGCCTTTGGATGACTGTGCATACTTGTATGTGAATACTTAGAGTGAGAGTCGGCTTGTGTGGGACGAGCATGTGGTGATTTGTGCATTGATACAGCACACCTGTGTATGTGTATGCATGCATATGTGCATGTATGTGGACCTCTGGATGGCTATGTGCACATACGTGTAAGCGTATATGAGTCAGCATGTGGGGTCTGTGGTTATCTGTGCACTTACACATCCATGCATACACACGTGGGTGCGTGTTGTGTATGTGTGCGTAACTATGGGTGCTGTGTGCACATGTGTGAACACATGCATCCACGAATTGGCACATGTGAGGCGTGTATGTAGGTATTCGTGTATCTGTGCACCTGTATGCATACGCATGTGTTCACACGGGTACGTATTAGGCTGTGTGCATGTGTGTACAGATGGATGTGCGTGAGATGGCGTGTGTGGGGCGGGTGTGGTTACATCATGTGTTCACTTGGGTGCACGTGTGTGAGTATGTGTGTCCGCCTTGACGTGTGTGGACGTGTGTGGACGTGTGTGTATGTCTTTGCGCATTCCTAGATCTCGGCATGTGCACTTGGTCATGTGGGTCTGGTGCTCCCGTGCACCTGTCTGCATAGGTGACTAAGGACTTGTGTGCCCCAGCGCCGCTCCTAGGCGTTTTGGGCATGGGAGGTCTGGCCACACAGACCCAGAGTCCCTGCAGGGGTGCCATTGCTTGAGTGATGCCCAGTTGCCTGGTGAAAGCCCCTACAGTGGGTGGACACCACGGCGAACAGGGCCCCTCACTGGCTTGAGTCCCTAGGTTCTCCTCTCCTCTCTGAGCCAGGTGAGCTTGGGCAGTGGCTTCTCTCAGGCTTGGCCACCTCCCCTGCAGCATCAGCCCCACCTGCCACCATCAGAGCAGAGAACTCGGCCCCCGCAAGGCCAGGAACATGGGAGGACATGCGTGGGGGCAGTCGGGTTTCAGTGGGATTGAGAAAGGCCTGTTTCCCTTCTCCCCCAGGGTGGGGCTGAGTCCCCTGAATTCCAGCCTCCCACTGGCAGGTGTCAGCCCAGCATGAAGCCCTCCTCTGGGCCGGAGCGGTCCCTGAGTTTTGCCACCCTTGGGTGGAGTTGGTTCAGCTCTACCAAGTGTGTCCTGGTGTCCCCTGCAAGCTGCATGGGGAAGATGCGGACAGGAGCTCCTGTTGGAGCAGTTGCTGTTTGCCAGGACCAAGGGCAGCCAGGGAGCCAGTGTCAGGAGGTGGCCCCCAAGGGGGCCAAGGAGAGGTACAGATATGAGCCATGGGAATATTGGGGTTGGGGAATGTTCTAGGTGGGAGAGGTTCAGGTGGGAAGGGTTTGGGATTTTGCCTAGAACTGTGTGGATTGGTGACCTCCTATCCAAGTGTCCTCTCTGAGCCTCAGTTTCCCCATCTGTAAAATGGGGCAGCCCTTGCACCCAGAAACAGGTTACTGGGAGGCTTGGCAATCCTGGTTGTGGCTTGGAGAGCAGGGAGACAGGGCCTGCCGTCTCGGCCACCTCTGTGGAGGAGGCAGAGAGGCCTCTGTGTCCTTGGAAAGGCCAGGCGTGTCCGGGATGTGGACTGCTTCCCCCATGGCCCTGGAGAAAGTGCCTGCTGCCCTCAATCCTGTGCTGAGCCCTGCTGGACGATAGCGCTGGCCTCTTCTGGTCCTGGTGGAGAGGCGGGGAGGCACTGGGCCAGCTGCAGCAACGTGGAAAGAGGACAGGGTTCTGGGCTGGGACCAGAGAGCCTGTGGGTACAAGAATTCTTTGCCCCAGAGACAGCCTGAGTGAGGGAGCCAGCCTGAGCAAGGGAGCCAGCCGACCCCATTTCCAGGTATTTAGACCATTCCTGAGCATCCACTCTGAGCCAGACGCTGTTCCAGGCACTGTGGGTGCAGCAGGGAACAGAGCAGGTGCCTTGCTCCTCATAGAGTCCTCATCAGGGGGACATGGCCAGTAGGATAAACAGTGGGCTGCAGACCCTTACCCCTGACCACATGTGCTGTGAAGACAGCCAGGTGGGGAAAACAGTGGTCGAGGGAGGTGGGCCACCCTGCTGTGGGGGGTCAGGGAAGGCCTCTCTGGGGAGGGGAGGCTGAGTCAAGACACTTTCATACATACCTTTCTCCGCCTGAGCATACTAATCTGCTATCACTGCTCTTAACCAACAGCTGTTGTTTGGGTTTATTCCAGGCAGGCGCCAGGTCTCATTCATTCCCTGTCTCTCCACCGGTCCCAGCGTTTGGAGGCTGCCCTGCCCCCATGCCACCCCATACCCAGTCCTTCCCTGGGCCTGGCTCAGGGGTTCTCCCATCCTCAGTACCCCAGGGCAGACTCTTTCCTGCTTCGAGGGTGTGGCTGGGACAGTGACTCTCAGGGCGATGTCTCCCCCCATCCACCGGAAATACTAGTCCCAAGCCGAGGGGTGGCCCTGCGTGGGACCTGGCCCTTGGCTTCCTCTGTCCGTGGATCCCGGAGGTCGTAAGAAGGGCTTCTTCCCTGTGTTTTGTTTCTGTGCCTCAGTTTCACCATCTGTGAAATGGGGCTACTCCTGCGTGTGCCTCCCGTGGTGCTTATGCGTGATTGAAATGTTAAGAACACAGCGTGTGCCCGACGGTCGGCTCATGGCAGGTGCTTGGGGAACTGATCACTGCTGTAATAGTTCTCCCCTGCTATTCCAGCCCCCAGCCGCACCTTGAGGCTGCAGGTCTCGGGGTTTCGGCTCAGCGTGAAGGTGGCCGAGAGCATAGCTCTGCTCTTGGTGGTCCAGGCCCTGGGCTCTAGGCAGAGGCAGCTCTAGGTTCCGGCTTGAGCCCACTTGCATAGGTCTTTCTCCGAGGGCTGGGGAGTGGGAGTGATGCTGACCCGCCATGCCCTCCCCTCTTTGCTGCAGCTGGGGAGCCTGGGCCCCTCCGCCCTGCGAGGAGATCTTGGCAAAGACTGCGTCAAGTTTTTGTTGGCAGCCACATTTCCCAGGACTCGGGGTCACCTACTTTTGGCCAATCTGGGTTTGGGGTCACTGGGGACAGTTTCAGTATGGTGATGGTGACTTCTGGGGCCTGTCCGCCTAGTCATTGCCAAATACTGGGTGGCTGCCCCAGTGCAGCTGAGTCACAGCAGGGGCTCGCCCACGTGCCAGCCCGTGAACACCCATTTGCCAGCACACACGCAGTTTAGCCTTGTGCAGGGGGCGCCCAAACCCACCCAAATTCTGCCCCTGCCCTCCGTCACAAGCCCCAGGAAGCCACCTTCAGGAGCCCCTCCACCCCCCACCTCCCTGTACCTAGCTGGCCTGGGCCATCCTCCAGGCCTCCTCTGAGCGGACCCTGGTGGTCCCAGGCTAGGGGCTGGCGGGCCTGGCCGAGGCACAACGTCTGCCTTCACGCCGAGGGCCGGGGTGGGGGCCCGGAGGTCCAGCCTATTGACGGAGCGGCCACCGAGCCCTGCACCACATGTTCCTGTTTTCCTAATAAGTCCCCACTTGTGAGTGGGGAGGAGGCGGGGAGGCCCCAGGGCAGCCCAGAAATAATCACATGATTGTGAAACACAAGAATCCTAGAAAGGGTATCTCTGAGCGCCTCTATCTCACCCTCCCTCCTCCTCCTCCTCCTCCTCCTCCTTCCCTCGCTGGCTGCACTAGCTCTGAGGTAATTGTAGACAACCCAACCAGCTTCCAGGGCGAGGGAAGGCATCTCAGGGCTGGCAGTGTCGGCTGGGCTGGCGGGGAGCGGTGCCCACATCGCCGGGCCCTGGGGGAGCGAGGCCTGCGCGCCTGCCGGGGAACAGGCTTCAGTGGACCTGGCGCATTTGCTAAAATCGAAACTTGGCGGGCTTGCTGGGGCCGCTGTGGGGGTATTGAGGCCCCTCTGTGTTTTTTTCCAGCCAGAGGAGGGCCTGGAGAGGGCCCCAGGCCTCCCTCCCCCGTACTGAGGATCAGCATGCTGGACTGGGCTGGGCAGGTGCCCGCTGCTCCGGGAAGCCTCTATTTATAATCTGTGTTTTTTTTTTTTTTTTTTAAATTCTCCTCTTCGCCATCACCCTGCAGAAGAAGGCCGAAGCTGCACATCGGATTCTGGAAGGCCTGGGACCCCAGGTGGAGCTGGTGAGCTGGGGTACAAAAAACTAAGAAACAAATTGTTAATGTTTTCAAACATCATTTCTTTAACCTTTTTTTTTTTTATCTGTTTTTTTTTTTTTTTTTTTAAATTCTCCTCTTCGCCATCACCCTGCAGAAGAAGGCCGAAGCTGCACATCGGATTCTGGAAGGCCTGGGACCCCAGGTGGAGCTGGTGAGCTGGGGTACAGGGTCGGGGGCTCCGGGGAGGGCGGGGGTGGCTGGAGAGGTGGGCAGGGAGGCGGGAGGGTGCGGTGGAGGAGGAAGTCATCTATTGCCAAGCGCTGCCCAGGCGGCGTCCGCGGAGGAGGCAGGAAACCCACCTTCCTGATGAGAGGATGGCAGATAGCGGGTGGGCGGGCCTGGCTGGGCTGAGTGGGGGTGGGGAGTCTTGGCAGCAAGTGCCTGTGGGGCCACCTGCGCACTCCTGTGCACACCGTGAGGCCCGGCCACTCGGGCTGTGAGGAGAGTCACACACCTGTAGACCAGCGCGTTTGCTCCAGCTGAGCGCGGAGAGCCGGTTCTCTGGGTCACGCGATCTCGGTCCACTCCCAGGTGCGCTGCTTCATGGTGGTGTGACCTTGAGCGGGTTTGTTACACTCTCCGTGCTTCAGCTTTCTCATCTGTAAAATGGGAATCCTAACAGCACCTATTCCACTGGGTTACAGTGAGGAGGAGCTGTGTTAATGTTTGTCCAACATCAGGTGTGGCGCCTGCCTTGCAGACAGTAAGTGTTCGGCATTAGCTATGATGATGATGATGATGATGATGATGATGGTGATGATGGCTGTCACTAGTGTCCTTTTGCTGTGGAAAGACGCCATGTCAGCAGCAGAGCTGGAAAGCAAGCCCCAAGCCTCCTGGAGTCCCTGGGCTGAGGATGGGTGGATGCAGAAGCCCTGGCTCCCAGAGAACGGGCCACAGCCCCTGCCTGCGCCACAGCCGTGTGTGCGCACTGAGCTGGTCAGCATGGATGGCCATGGTGGGCACTGAAGGCATACTGCTACCCACATGTGTGCCAGCTGAGGGAGAGTCTGCGTGCATGGTGGGCTACGGTGTGCGTGTGAGTGCGCCCAGGGTGCAGGTAAAGTCTTACGCTTTCGGCCATGTGTAGTGGCTCACACCTGTAATCCCAGCACTATGGGAGGCCAAGGCAGGAGGATTGCATGAAGCCAGGAATTTGAGATCAGCCTGGGCAAAATAGCAAGATCTTATCTCTGCAAAAAATTTAAAAATTCACCAGGTGTGGTGATGCACGCCTGTCGTCCCAGCTACTTGGGAGGCTGAGGCAGGAGGATGGCTTGAGCCCAGGAGTTCAAGGCTACAGTGAGCTGTGATCACACCACTGCACTCTAGCCTGGGCAGTAGAGTGAGACCCTGCCTCATAAACGAAACAAGTCTGACACCTTCAGAGCTTCCATCTAAACTCAACTCCACTGCCTGTTCGCCAAGTGGCCTTAGGAAAGGGGCTGACCTCCCAGTACCACAGTGCTCTCTCATCTCGGACAGGCAGATACTCTGGGGCCTCCTTCCAGGGTCTTCCCAGGGTTAAAGGCAGTGATGCCTGTTAAAGGCTCACCTAGTGCCGCTCCTGGCCCCTACGAAGCGCTCAGTAGTTGTGAACAATTTGGTGATGAGCTACTCCGCGTGAAGTTTCTGCAGGCTGCTCAGTTTTGCACAGTGAGAGCTCCCCGAAGCCTGGGGTCTGTCTGTTGAGGCCACTCAGGAACTGCAAGCCCCAGGCTCCCAGGCCCGCTCAGAAGGCAGAAGCAGGGAGGAGATGGCACGGGCTCCTCCAGCTCAGAAGCAGGGCCCAGCCACCCACCTGGCTGGACTCAGAACCTCGCCGGGCTCCCCCATCCCTCCGGGCTCTGCCCCTCCAGGTACATCCCTGGGCCTGGGCGACCTGGTGATGAGCTCTGGCCTGGGGTCCTGCTTCTCACCGTGGAAGTGATTTCTGGGGAAGTTTCCAGCGGCTGCTGCTTGCTTGTTTTTCTGTTTTGTAAACAGCTTTATTGAAGTGCAGTTCGCACGCATGCCATTCACCCATTTAAAGCATACAATTCAGTGGGTTTTAGTGTATTCACAGATGTGTGCAACTGTCACCACGGTCAATTTTAGAACATTCCATCATCTCAAAAAGAAACCCTTCTGTCTCTATGGATTTGCCTATTCTGGACATTTCCTATAAATGGAATCTTGCAATATGTGGTCCTTTGTGTCTGGTTTCTCTCCCTCAGCATCATGTTTTCGAGGTTCATCCGTGTTGAGCGTGGGTTGGTCCTTCATTCCTTTTTGTGGCTGAATCATGTTTTCACTGTAGGGGCAGGTCACGTGTTGTTTACCCACTCATCAGTTGGTGGACATGAGATTGTTTGCATATTTGGGGTATTGTGAATAAAGTTGCTGTGAACATTAGTGTGCCGTTTCCATGTGAACGTACGTCTTCATTTCTCCTGGGTGTGTACCTAGGCGTGGAATTGCTAGATCCTCTGTTAACCCTATGTTTAGCCCCTTGAGGAACTGCCCAACTGTTTTCCAAAGTGGCCGTACCATTTTACATCCCCACCAGTAAGCTGCCTCTTGCCTCGGTTTCTCCTTTTTTGCCAAATGGGGATGGCAGGGTTGGATGAAGTTCCCAACCATTTCCAGACTTCCAGGTCCTCCCGCTCCCCTTTCCTGATTGGTCCCTGGGGGCTTCCTAGGGGAAAGGGCCTGGAGGCCGCCATGTCTTAGGGCCTGAGGAACACAGGCGAGGAAGCCCCTGTCCGTGGGAGTCTGTGGGCGGATGGGGGTGGGCAGCTGCTGGTGTCAGAAGCTTTGGAACCAGGGGCCCCACAGTGAGTCTTCTCTGGTTCTTTGGAGACAAGGGGATGGGGTTGTCTCCCGCTTGGGGATCTCAGAGCAGAGGCTTCCAAAGGGCTGATGGCACAGGAGGCCAAGGTCTAGTGTCTGGACTCTTGAAGGCCCCTGGCTTGGTGCCAGTCAGTGGAGAAAGGGAGGGCGCCTCGCAGAGCTGTTGCCATCCCATTTTCTGGATGAGGCTCAGCGAGGGGAGTGCCTTGCGCCGGGCCACGCAGCAAGAGATGAGGTGGGGAGGTGTGCTGAGCCCCGGGGGGAGCGGCTGGCCAGTTCTGCACAGATCTGCCAGGCCTGAGTGGCCACAGGCATCCTCCAAGCAGAGGCAGCTCCGTGGTACACCCTCTGCAGGGGCCTGTCTACCACCTAGGTGTCAGAAGCCCGGACCAGGGACGGCCTGAGGACCCAGGGGCTGTGGTCACAGAGTCTAGTTCCCAGGGTGTCTTCCATCAGAAGCTGCAGTTCCAACGCCCCTCCCCTCGGCAGGGACGGATCCCTGTGGCCCCCCTGGAGGAATTTGCATTGGAAAGGATGAAAATAGCAGCAGAGGTGCTAACCAGGGGTCTAGGGCTCTGAGATGGTGGGGCACGGCCCCTCCTGCCCAGCTGTGGGGCCCGGGCCAGGCTGGGAGGAGGCGCGGTGGTGGAGGGCGCGCCCGGCAGCCCCGACCTCTCTGCCGCTTTGAGTCATTGCTTCCTTCCTGTTCCAAGGCGTTATTTTAAGAAGCTGGTGTCACCAGCGGGTTGAGGGCTGGGGCTGACGCTTCATTTATTGCCAGCTCAGGCCGCCTGGGACTGTGGCTCTTCCTGGTGGCCCTGCTGGCTGGCTCAAAGCCCGAGGGGGGCCGCCTCCTCCCTGGCCCCTGCTGGCTTTCTTAGTCACCACTGTGCCTCATCTTTGCCTAAGCCCTGCGTCTGGCACCTGCTCCCCTTTGCCCTCTTTCTGCCCTCTGAGTGGCTGCGCCTCTCATTTTAGAGGAGACGGAGGCTGAGCAAGAGAGAGCTAGACCCTGGGGCCTCCTGGGTGCCACCCCAGGCTCCACACTCATCTGGGCCTTGATGTCCTCACTGGCATGTGTCCCCCCAGGGGTCATTTCTCCCGGGAGGATAAGGCCTGGGGGTGAGGGACAGGGGCCAGCCATGCCCCCAGCCTGTGGCTGTGGAGGTGTCTCATGGCCCCACGTGGGGACCCCGCCTAGCCTGGGCTGGGGAGCCGCCAGGCCTTTGTGCAGCCCCCTCTGCAGAGGGTGAGGGGGGTGCTGGCGAGTCCCCTCGGGCCCTGTGTCCTCTCAGCAATGCATCTGCCAGGACATGTCACTGTCCCTCCCTCCCCCAACCCCCTTCTGGGCTTTCCAAGATGGCTGGCCTCAGCCTGTTGCCATGGCGACACACAGCATTCGAGCAGCTCTGGGCCCAGAGCCTCCCCTGGGCTCCTGGGGTTCACTGGCCTCGGGGAGTGACTGGTGAGTGCCTCCCAGGGGGCAGCCCCTGTTTAGAGGCGGCAGCACGCAGTATCCTCAGTCCTTCGGGGCCTTCGCCTTGCGGGCCGCTCACCGATGGCCGCCTTGAGAAGCAGGGGCTGTGTCCCTATCTACGGGGCAGAGGAGGTGGCCACCAAGTGGAAGTGGCCTCCCTCCCCTGTGGCTTCGGTGGGTTGGAGGCTGACCGGGCTCGTGCTGCCCCCGGGAGCCTGTCCTGTGTTTCTGCTCCCGCCCTGTGCTGCAGAAGCACTGTCCCCTCTGCCCACCACTCCCTCCCAGGGTCGTGTGCGGTGGGCTTCCAGTCCCCTTCTGGCCCCCTTCGGCTGTTTGCTATCTTTAAAACCAAAACAAGACAAACACTAAATTTCACCAAGTCTGAAATTTTCTGGGCTATCCAAAATTTCCGTGAAGTAGGTCCTCTTTGTTCTACACTCATGTTCCAGATGAGGAAACTGAGGCCGGAGTGTTGAGGGCACTTGTCCAAGCTCACAGCTAGTGAGGGAGGAGCCACCATTTAAACTGGGGCCTGTTTCCAAAACCCGAACCTTTAAGTGATGTCCCCTTGCACCTGGCCTGCATTTGATTGGCATGTGGGGAACATAAAGGAGCCAACGTGTTGCCCTGGGTTACAGCGTGGGCATCTTGATAGGGCCCCTTGCCATTCCTGAGACAAGGACTCGCACCCTCTGCAGGGATGCTGCACCGTACCCCTTCTTTCCACTGGGAAGTTCTCTGCAGGGATGCTGCACCGTACCCCTTCTTTCCACTGGAAAGTTCTCTGCAGGGATGCTGCACCGTACCCCTTCTTTCCACTGGGAAGTTCTGCAGTGAGTCTGACCATGGACTCTCTTGTTCCTCTGCTCACTTCTTCGTCTTGTTCAAACCTCCAGGGTGGGGGTGGGGAAACTGCCCTCTGTTCAGGGCTGAGAACCTTGGGAGGGGAGCCTGACCTGGCATGGGGAGAAATGGCTCATGTCAGCTGCAGGATGACATCTCTGTCCCCAGGAGAGTAGCTGAGCAGGACCCTGGAATTTCCCGAGTCCAGTGGTGAATTCCCTAGCAGGGGATCTGGGGCTACAGGGAGAAAGGCGACATTGTCACCAGCCAAGACCGTCTGTGAGGCTCTGCAGAGCTGCAGAGGCCCTTCTCTGGGGATGGGTGGGCGGGGATCTGGGTGGCCCCCTGTGCTGGCGTCATCAGGAGGTGTGTTCAGCTCTATCCCCAGGGAAGAGACTTGTGTGTCCCTTTTGTTGCTGCAGCCCTGCCCCGAGCCTGCAGGACTCCACGTCTCCATCCTTACCCCGTTCCACCTGATCACTCATACTCTGTACCTGATCTTCCCACCACAGTCACCCATGGCCACCCTGGGAGGCTCCTGCTGTGTGTGTAGGTGAGGGAGAGGGAGACAGACAGAAAGACACACACACACACAGAGGCTCAGGCAGAGAGGAGAGCATACTCCTTCCTCCAGTGCTGGAGCTGAGAGATGGGCTGTCATTCAGGCTCATCTCTTACCAGCTGTGGGCAAATGTTGTAAGCTCTTAAGGACTCAGTTTTCCTGTCTGTACAGTGGGGGTGAGTGTATCGGTTATGCAGTGCGGTTACATGGCTTCTGCTGGGGAACAAAGCAGCCCACATTTAGAGGCTTGAAGCAGCAACTGTTTACTGTTTCTTACCAGTCTGGAAGGCAGCTGAGCATTTCTGCTGGTGCGGACTCAGCTTTTGTACCTCCGTGGCCAGCAAGGGAGTCGGTGGGCCAGTGCTGTAGCTCAGCCCAGGCTGGGTGGCACCACTCTGCTCTTTGCCTCTCTGCCCGCTTCCTGCAGGCCAGGCTAGGCTCGTTCTCTTGACAGAAACAGCAGAAATGTGAACTCTCATCGTCAAGCCTCTGCTTTTGCTGAGGGTGCACTGGTTCCACTGGCCACAGCAAGGTCATGGGTGGTTACAGGGAGGCGTGAAAGGTGGGTGCCATTAACACAGTCACTGCTCCCTGATGGCGACAATGCGACTGGCACCTCTGGGCACTTCAGCCTGCAGGTGCCAGCCTCAGAGCTTAGCATGCACTGTCTCATTTGATCTTCGCAAAACCCTATGAGTTTAACCCCATTTTATAGATGAGGAGAAACGGAGGCACAGATGGAGACCCAGCTAGAAAGCATCAGAACCTGGACTTGAACCCAGGCTGTGCCCTTGGTTGCTAAGCAAGGTTCTTCCATTTGGGAGGGGACATGTGGCAGCTGTCTGGGTCCCTGCCCCCATCACAGACACTGCAGTGCTTTCTGCGTCTCATCGTGCGCTCTTTGAAGCTCTGTGCTTGCTACCTGTGGGCCCTGCGTCCCTTTCTCACTGCTGGGTGGGATTTGTGGTGTAGCTGATCCCTGATCTCCTTAGCTGCTCTTCTGGTGGCGGACGGCTAGCTTGCTTCTCATGGGCCGCTGTGAGCAGTGCTGTAGCAACATCCTAGCGCCCGTCTCCTGGCAGAGCACAGTAGGCATCTGCAGGAGCACGGGGGTCGGAGGCGGGGGCGTCAGTGTTCGTCACCAGGCAGTGGCTACTGTCTCTCTCTCTGGGGGACGTGTGCCCATACACCATGCTCCCACCAGCTATGTGCCAGGCTTCCTGTCACCGCAGACCTCACCAACACTTGGCATTATTCAACGTTTTTGTCTTTGCCCGTCAGTGGGGGTGGAGTGGTATCTTGCAGCGTTGGGACGAACATTTCCATGGTGAGCTGGGAAACCAAGCGGCTTTCCATGTTTGGTGGCCAGGGCCAACCTCTGGGGTGTGTGTGGGTTTGTCCTGGTGTGCTCTGGGCTGTGGCCCCTTTTAGGCCAGCACTGCTGAATGCCCCGCAGAGCAGCTATGACGACCTTGGTGGGGGCGGTCACCGTACCCACAGCTGTCCCGGAGGAACCAGTTTCAGCCTGTTCCTGGCTGGGGCTGCGTGCTGGGTCCCTGTGTTCCGTTTCATGCCTGCCCATGGCTGAGCCCTCACCCAGAGGACAGCTCCTCTGTGCCAGGCCTGGGGCTCCTGCCGGTGGGCTCTGCAGTGGCCAGTGGCCAGCCGGGCTCTGACGCGCTTCTCTCTCTCCCTTTGCAGCCATTGTACAACCAGCCCTCCGACACTCGGCAGTATCATGAGAACATCAAAATGTGAGTGCTTGTGGGTAGCCGTGCAGACCACGGGGGCGGGGTGGGCAAACAGGCTCTCAGCGGCCTGCATGGGATGTGGGACGTGGGCTCTCTGTTCCCATCAGGGGCTCCCGGCCAGGGCCAGGTGCTCCTGGAGGGGACAGGAGACAGTCCTAGGTGGCACCTGGGGTGGGGACGGGGAGCGGAGAGAGTGTCCCCCTGAGGTTTCGGGAGACAGGCCTGGATTTGGGAGGGTGGGCGAGGGAGCTGCTGGTGTACAGGTGGGTCTGGAGAGACGGAGGTCAGAGGTCCCAGTCTGTGTACATGTGCATCCTGTTCGAGCAGGAGGGAGCTGTTGCGGGCAGAGGGCAGCCGGCGCAGGGAGATGGGGAGTGGCCTCAGTGCAGGTGGGGCCTGGTGTTTTGGGCTCTGGCATAAGCATGTTTGGGAGTCACCTGGCGTCTGCACAGCAAGGCCCCTCTGGCACAGCCCACTATGGGGCAGATCAGAGCACTCATCCAGGCCCCGAGGCTTTGGAGGTGGCCAATGTGATGTATTCTAATGATGGGGGCCTTTTCCCAGACCGAGGCTGGGAGAGAAGAAAATGTCAATTAAGTGCCACATGCCGCTGGGTGGGGCAGTGCTGGAGGCTGGTAGCATTGTATCTTCAAGCGAGGTACAAGGCGTTGAAGGTGTGGCAGCTGGAAGGAGGCTGGGTTTTTCTTGGGATGCATTAACAGGAGCATAGATTGCTGGGCTGAGGAGGGCATGTTATCTCATGTTCATGCCCAGGAACCCAAAAGGTAAAAGGGGCTGCAGATCTTGCCCCTTGAGGAACATGTGCTGGCAGGTTGGAGGCGAGACTCTTCAGGATCATAGCTGTTGAATGTTCGAGGTTTGTCATGGTTAGAGGGTACATGCATTTGAGTGTGGCTGCAAAGGGAGGCATTTAGCTGATTCAGTGGGTAGTTCAGCCTGGTCCGATTGTTCAAGCGTTCCTGGGATGGAACTACAGAGTGTATATGCGGTGGTGAGCTCCCCGTTCCTGAAAGCATGCAAACCTCCTAGTGTTTTCACGCATCTGCTGGTGCTGGACTAGTTGACAGGGAGATCGTTGCTGTTGTAGTTTCCAGAGTTGCAGGACTGGTCCAACCTCAGGTGATCAACTTGGCCACCCTCTTGCAGCATCATTGTTGCAGCAGCCTAGAAAATCTCTCCTTGCTAGTTGAGGCCCTTGGCCTTCTGGGATTCAGGAGCACCTGACAAAGATACTTCACCAGCGTGGCTGGTGGGGGGTCATCCTCAGCTAGTGGCCAACAAGGGCTGCAGAGTGTCCGGAAGGGGCATGTGTCCTGCGCCAGGGGTCCTGGGCTGGTATGGAATGCCCATGTCAGATGCAGCCTGGGCTCCTCATCGGCCTGGCGGGCTCGTTCATTGCCCGGGCTATGCCTGTCCCTTCTGCAGCTTCCTGGGACTTCCCTTGTTCTGGGGCCCCTGTCTGGGGTGGGAAGCCACAGATGGAGGGGTGCTGAAAGCAAGGGGGATGTTCTTGGGACCTCATCACAGGTGGGTTAGGGGATGAGGGTGGAGTGTTCTCAACTGAGTCCGGGCTGTTTGGGGCATTCCCTCATTCATTCATCCCATCTTACTGAGAGCCTGCTGTGTGTCAGGTCCTGTTCTAGGCCTTGGCCACTCAGCCTTGGATAAAACAAAGGCCTCACCCCTCATCAAGATTTGTCTGGCAGTGGAGACAGAACCAGAATGAGTTAAGTAAACAAAACAAGAGAATGTCAGCTAATCCAGCTGGGTGCAGTGGCTCATGCCTATAATCCCAGCGCTTTGGGAGGCTGAGGTGGGAGGATTGCCTGGGGCCAGGAGTTCGAGACCAGCCTGGCCAAATATAGCAAAATTGAAAAGAAATTAGCTGGGTGTGGTGGCACGTGCCTGTGGTCCCAGATACTCAGGAGGCTGAGGTGGGAGAATCGCCTGAGCCCAGGAGTTCTAGGCTGCAGTGAGCCGTGATTGCACCACTGTACTCCAGCCTGGGCAACAGAGCAAAACCCTGTTTCTTAAAAAAAAAAAAAAAGAAAAGAAAAAGAAAATACCAGCAAATCTAAAGTACTATGCTCACATAACTGTACTATGCTCACATAACTATCTTAAGCTCTTTATGCCTTCATATACCTAGTTATGATTTTTTCTTCTTAACATAATATTTTTTGATAGCCATATTATTATACTGACAATTTTACACAGGTTTTTTCACTTAAAGCGAGCGATATTTTAAGCTGAATAATATGGATGATTTCAGGTAATAAAGACAGCTGTAGAATCTAAACAGAAGAGGAGCGAGATACTCATATAGATAACACCAGCAAATAGATATTGCTTCATCTTTGTCTAAGTAGAATAAACTGTAAGCATATTAAAGCCAGTGCTGTATTTGACATCCCATAATCTTTGTCAGAGAATGGCTGTGGTCTATTAAAGTACATTTTGACTAAATAGGTAGCCACCTCACTGAATTTGTTGCAAATCTAAATCACAAACAAATATGTTTATAATTAAAACAAATAGATGTGCTGGGTGTGGTGGCTCATGCCTGTAATCCCCGCACTTTGGAAGGCCGAGGCGGGCAGATAACTTGAGGTCAGGAGTTCGAGACCACCCTGGCTAACACGGTGAAACCCCATCTCTACCAAAAATACAAAAATTAGCCAGCTGTGGTGGCGTGTGCCTGTAGTCCCAGCTACTTGGGAGGCTGAGGCAGGAGAATTGCTTGAACCTGGAAGATGGAGGTTGCAGTGAGCCAAGATCATGCCTCTGCATTCTAGCCTGGGCAACAGAACAAGACTCTGTCTCAAAAAAATATATATATAATATAATATAAAACAAAGAGATGAATAATTAAGATTTCCTACACTGTAAGTAGTCGAGTTCTGTGAGAACAACCTTTGTGTGTAAATTATTGGAACTGATTTGTCTTTAGAATTTTAGTTTCTTGGATATTTTCTACTAAAATTATCATCCCTTCTACATTTTAGATTTCAATGCGGTTATGATTAACTTTCATTGTGCAGTCCATTCATTTTTTAAAAATTCTATTATACTCTGGTAAGTGGGGTGATGGGAGAGAAAATGAGGGGGTGATATTAGCCAGGGAGGTCAGGGCAGGCAGTGACAGTTGAGGGGACCCTTGGAGGCTGAGCAGCAGCCGGCTGTGTGGACCTCCGGGGAGTGTCCCAGACGGGTAGAATAGGAGGTGCAAAGGCCTCCTTGAGCTGGCAGGGGTCACAGAGAAGGCTGGCATGGCCCGAGGAGGTAGGCGAGGGAGAGGAGGGCACAGGCCAGGTCACGGAGGGCTGGTAAGGAGTTCCTGCTTTATTATCTGTTGGAAGGGAATTCAGTGATGAAGTTTATCCCAGGAAGCAATGTGATCAGATTTTTGTTTTAAAAATTTGCTTTGGTGGCCGCAGGGAGAAAGGACCTGGGGGTAGGGGTGAGAGTACCATGGGAAGGCCCCTGCAGGAGCTGCTGAGGTAGGTAGTGAGCACCCTGTCACTGAAAGGTATGCAAGCTGAGAGAGCATAATGTTCAGGAAATCTGCAGTGCCCAGGAAGCTGCCCTCAGCAGCCTCTGCACCCTGCACTCCTTGCAGGCTCTGATGTTTTGTGACTCTGCTCCTGCTAGACTGCAGAAACTGTCTCGTGTCCAGTGCGGACATGGGAAGGGAGGCCCTGTGCAGGCCCCGTCTCACCACATGGCTGAACACAGGGGCCTCAAGCGGGACCGCAGCGCGTCCTGGCTGGCTGACTAGCTGTGTGTCCCTGTGGGAAGTCACTTGCCCTAGGGCTCAGTTTCATACGTGCTCACTGAGGTCAGTGCTCAGCGTGTAGAGCACATACTGGGTTTTTGGTTCTTCTTTCTTTTATCTACAGAGACCCAGACTCATTCATTCATTCATTCATTCATTCAACCAATATTTACTGAGCATCTGCTACACGCCAGGCACTGTTCTGGGCCTCCAGGACATAGCAGTGAATGAGGCCTGACATTCTAGTAGGGGAGGCTGTTAAGAATAAATACACTGTGATAAGTGACTGCCGCCATGGGACAATGAGATGATCCAGCCGGGGTCAGGTGGGGTGCCCAGCTTCCCCCGGAGCAGCCTCCCCCACGCTTACAGCCTCCTCGCCGCTGCTGCTGTCATTGCTTCAAGGTGGGAGGTCGTTCCCTCCCCTGAGACCTTGCCCCGTCACTTTAATTTCTCTGTGTCTGCATGCTGGGGCTGCAGAGTGAAAGTTAATTTCACGCTTGACTTCCTGCTGCACAGACGATTTCGGACGCGTTGGAGTCACCCGTAGCCGCCTCCGCTGCCCTCCCACCGCCACCTGCTTCGGGCGCTGTTGGTGTCCCCTGCTGCAGGAGGGAGAGCTCAGACCACCGGCGCGGGGCCGGGGCAGCCCCAGAGGAGCAAGAGATGGGGTCTCCACTGAGGGATGGGCCCCACCCTGGGCAGGACCCTGCAGGAATTCCCAGGCATCCGTGGAGCCCTCGTGGGATGTGGTGAAAGGGCGTGGGGCCCGGGGGTGGGCGGCAGCCAGCGCCCAGGCGTGCTCTGCCTCTGCTTGCCCGGGGGTTGCCCTGGTTCGCCGGTCCCCTCAGGCCTGGAAGCCTGCTGCTTTCTTCCGTCGCTCGTTTTTCTTTTTTCGCAGGCTGATTTCTTCCCTCCTGCTGCCTCATTTGGGGGTCGGCTGATGGGAACTGTCAGACCTGGGGCTGTGCAGGCGGAAAGGGGGACCAGTCAGGACCCAGGTGACTCTTAGCAGGTCTCTGTGGTCTCGCTCAGAGACATCAGATGACTCCCCCAGGGTCACATAGACAAATTCCTAGATCAGTCCTAACTGCACATCCTTCCAGCTTCCTCTCCTGGGTCTCTACTCCAGACCCTGCCCCTCCCTAGCTGGGTGACCTTAGGCAAGTCACGTCACATTGCTTGGCACTGTCACAGCTTTTGGTTG